CGGTTTTGAATCTGCGTACTCCTTCTATCTAAGCTCACCGCCAGGCGAACCGGTCTGGCTGACTATCCGCAAAAACATACACGGACCACGTACAAAATGAACGATAACACGCTGCAGCGATGCCACGCAGATATGGAAACGGATAACGTTGCCAGATAGAAAGTATCTTCCTATGGTGCAGAGAAAAATGTCTGTAGACTAATTGTATAGGCTTGTTTGAATGACTTAATCTAGTCAATTTCTTTGCTGTACATGTTCGTAACTGACTTTTCCTCGGAAGATTTAAATTGCGCTGGAAGTAATCCTTTATGAACAGGTGACGGCGTCGGGTAAGATGTGCAGGCTCAACCTACTTGATGTCATTTTTTTAGCGCTCGTATACTTATTTATACGCTTCCAACCCCAGTCATTCTACGCATCTAAGACACACATTTCTTACATCATATAATTCCCCGAACATTTGTTCTTCAAACTTGAAGAATGACAGAGAAATATTTGCATTTCACACGTCCCACGCAACTGAATGAACGCACATAATATCTGCTTTGAGGTCTGACCGATATTTGATCATTTGGAAGCTACCGTGCTGGGTTGTAAAGTACCCAAGTTATAGTCACAGCAACTTATATTTTTTTGTTATACACATACTCGTATCCCTTGTGAACTGATCGCAGCGTTGTGTGGGAAGTGCAGAGTTATCTTACTTGCCGCAACTTTTTTCAGAGTATCCAAATAAAGGAAGAACCCCTCGAAAATGATGAAAATTCGTCTAGCAACATCCACATCAAATCAGAACCAGAAGACTTAGATGATTCTATGAACGGAGAGTATAATGAATTCCCTCCAGCACTGTCACCTCAGATGCCCGAGCATGAACATATGGAAACCGGAATACAAAATGGTGGTAGTTCGACCAGTAAGTATATTGGTTTCGAAATATCCCTATTTATAGAGTAGCGTAACTATCAATTTTTCAGTTTATTTCGGAATGAATGACGACTGTTGTCAATCTTGTCTCTATGTTTGTATGTGTGACTGGTGTTTGTCATTTATTTTATACGTTATTCTAAGATTTCTTCTACCCACTGTAAAACTGACTATATGTAAGCACATTTTGCCTGATAACGTCAAAATCAACTATTATTATTAAGACATTCTATTTTGGCTTTATAGATCTATATGTGAATGACAACGACAAGAGGTGCAGATATTGTGATAAGCTATTCAGTAACATATCTAATAGAAAGAAGCATGAAAAAGCAATACACCCACCTAATGAACCGTATGCAAGAAGATCTATGTGTGGTAAGCTTCACCATTTATTCCCTTAATACGTCATTTTCGTGTGGTGAATCTGACGCTATTAAATATTTTTCAAACGGTCTCTAATATTGATAAATTTCTGTGAAAAGACCTACTTCAAATATCTTGATGATATGATGATACTTGTTTTTTGCAAATGGCAAAAAATGGGCTTGATTCCCACTATAAGCGTGCAATTTCTTGTGATATAAATAAACATTAGAGAGATCCTTGCAGGAAATACGATGCCCTTTCAAAAAAATTCTTTCGGTTACGATTATTAGAAAATATCTACGAATTACATAATATGCAACATCAGTTTCATACGGCTTCAAACAGCATTGGATCAGAGAGTGTATTTTTTGGTTGTGCCTCACGTGAAATTTTCTAAGATGAAAACGTAAAATAAGTGCGGGTGAAAGAAATGACGTCGAGTAGATTGACTCCGTTCTTCCCACGCAACGCTGCCATCAGTTCATAAAGGATTCTGTTCGGCACAAGTTAGCACTTCTGAGAAAAAAGTTAGCTACGAATAAGTTTTTGTCCACATAAGAAATACATGAGTTTCCTTCTGATGCAGTCTTCTAAAAAAACGCTAGTTGACTTGTTTCCACCTATCCGGCAGGGTAAAATAAAAAATCTGTCCCTAATGCAAGTGAGCATGGAGTGAATGTCAACTAGTTCATAGGTGACATTTTATAGGAAAACATACATAAGCCTGAAAGTTATCTTACGAGTAGCACCATGAATGCTGATATGATTACTGATCACTATTTAACCTTCTGTGATATATGTATTACACTTCCTAAAAATCAACAGAAATTTGTGACAGTCAGGATTTCAAGAACTTTCCATGTGGCATATCATGACTATAGATGGCATTGAAGGTAAAAATAACTTTTTAATGTTTTTTTTATGTTTATTTAATGTTCACTGTACAATAAAAAGTAGTGGGCTGGATGATAATATTAAACTTGTATTTAAGCAGACAGCTGAAGCTTTGTCAAAGTTCAAACGTCATACAGCTGCCTCTTGGCTACAGCATACATATTTCAGTGCATTACTATTCGTGCGGAAAGGAAATTATTTACAAGCTGTTCAAAATCAAGATTTAAAAAAGTTTTATAAAACCCTAAATACTTTTAAAGTGCAAAAAGTGTGATCTCAGAAAGATTCTTTAATTCTCGTGAGTTTATCAGATCCTAAGTGTTCTGATCCTACTATGGTCAACTGAGACCGCTCAGCTTACTGCCTATTTTCTTAAAAGTATTGGGAATCGTTGTTTACGAACAGCTCTGCGCCTACTTATAGTACCTGGCTTCCGCAAAGGTCATAATACAGTTTCGACACTCTGCGATTTAACAGACAATATAACAATGGCGCCTTGACAACCATAAAGCAGTAGCTCTTATACTTATTGACTTCACTAAAGCATTTGACACAATTAATCATTCACTTCTTGTGTCTGAATGCAGTTATTACGGATTTTCTGGAAACACCTGTTTCGTTTATTCAAACCTGTCTTGAATTTTTTTTTCAAAAATAGTATTCTACCTCACAAACAATGTGTTCTGGTGTACCACAGGGATCTGTCTTTGGATCCCTGTTATTTTCATTAATATCTCAAATTTAGAAACATAGTACAGTCATACAGCATGCATTTTTTTACCGACGATATTCAAATTTTCTATTCATTTAGGAGTAAGTAAGACTTGGAAACATGACAAACATAAATTTAAAAGGTATTATAATAAAAAATCGTATTCAAACTATTGTGAATACATGTTGCAGATTTGTAAACCACAACTGGATAAAAATTGATAAAATGTATAATTACCAACTCCTAAGACTGACTAATACGGTTTTTTTGTTCAAAAACACCGTCATATTTAGTAACCAAAGTCCTACGTAGAGGTAATATGCATAGTATTAATATTAGATGTAGATACTTTTTCAATCCCACGCCACAGAACATCTCTATTTCAGAACATATATTTACAATGCGATCATATTATATAATAAGAAACTAAGTATTTTAAATTCAAGAAAAAAATTAAAGAAATTCTACTTGATCAGCAGCGAAATCTTTTGTAACCAATGAGTGTTAACTGACCTTATGATTTCTTTATGTGTGTGTCGTTATTGTACATTTTCAATTTTATGCATCTTGCATCGCATTGTTAAAGGGGTTAGGTGATAGAATAGATATAGTATCTAAATCTCGCCTTTGTATCGTTATTACAAATAAAAAAGACGTTTATTATTAAATTATATTGCCACCCCTCGTGGCCAACACTCAAAATAAAAAGTGGCGCGGACCGAGGACGCGTATTTTGCAACTCTAAAATGTTAAGGTGAACAATTTTTGAAACAATTTGGCGATTATTTATTACAGCTTTGTAGTTGTGTTTTGTGATTTTGTTTGTGCTTTCTTAAATATTTTTATGATATAAGGTTGAGGCATTTATTTTAACTGCTTGTAGGAGTTGACAAAAAGGATTGATGTACAAAAAATCATCTATATAAAAGTTCCATAATAAAAGAAATAGTAAAAGATTAAAAATTAAAAAAAATAAGAAGGTTATATCACAGATTTTTTGTTATTCTCGGCCACTGCTGTGTGTTTTTTATATTACTACTTTTATCGTTTATCTAAATTTGGCAAACCTTTTGTGTTATTGTATCGTCTTTGGTACGATCAGTTGTATCAGTCTTATACTTTCATTTGTATGATTATTTTGTGCAAAAAAATGGCCCATGTTTACGAACACAATGAACTAGTGGACATAATACTAACACATAACAAAATGCAGCCGCAGAATGTAGTTTGTATGCGTACAGGTTTCCTTTAAGAAATCATCCGGCCCCACGGATGTTTGTAAATTTAGTTATTAGCCATCGTGACACAGGATATTTAAAAGAACCACAATGAGTACTAGAGCAATAGCGGCTCAAGTTGAAGTTTCTCATAGTAAAGTGTGGAAGACAATACGACAAGAACAATATTATTCTTATAATTATCAACGGGTACAAGCGTTACAACCTGAAGATCATCCTAGAAGAGTTGCATTTTGCCAGTGGCTTTTAGAACAGTTCGTCAGAAATGAAGGTTATACGAAAATAATTTTGTGTACAGGCGAGGCCGCAAGTCCTCAATTTCCACAACAATCATGTTTGGGCAGTAGAAAATCCGCATGTTGTAAAAAGAACTCATTTTCAACATAGATTTTCATCAAATGTTTGGGTAGGCGTGGTAAGTGGATGCTTATTGGACCCTACTTTTTTCCACCTCGACTGACCGGTGAAATTTATTTAGATTTTATTATTTTGTGAGACATAATATGTGATTCCTACATGATGGGACTCCTCCACATTTAAGACGAGAAGTTCATGAACATCTGAATAATGCGTTTCCGAGTAGATGGTTTTTTTTTTTTTTTGGTGAGGGGGGAATGCATTTACGCACCATACCATAGCCCGAGCTACGGCGTGTGTGGGACTCCAGGGTCTTGAGGAGAGCACCTAATACCCAATAAACCCTAAACCTTCGCGTGGCCCGACTCATCAGCGTCTCGGTAGGCCATGTGTTGTGCGTGACCTGCGGTCTGCTACAACGTCTCCTCATGTGTTTCAGTCTCTGGGAACGCCGGGTTGGTTCCCTTTACCTCGCACATTCTATTGATGTCATTAAGCGATCATCGATAGAGGGTCTGCTAGGTTCTCTTGAAACTCTTGTTTTCGAAAAATCAAGAGTTTCAAGTCCTCTTACCAATATGTTGTTCCTGGTCCTGGTCCTGAAGGGTCCTGGTCCTGGTGGGTCCTGGTCGTGGCGGGTCCTGGTCCTGGTGGGTCCTGGTCCCGGTGGTTCCTGGTCCTCTGCATCCACGCCGTGGGCGGGGGGGGGGAGCAACCGCGGGTTCTCCTAGTCTCCTAGTCAAGGTTCCAGTTAGCGGGTGCCAACTGGGACCTTGGTCTAGGGTACCTGGTTCTGCGGTTGCGAGGCCTCTCGTCCGGATCGTAGTCCATGAGGAATCGTAGCTGCTCGTTCGGGTGGTCCTGAGCTTTCTCGAAGGTCTTCTCCGCTTTTTTCCTCATGTACTCGTGGATGGTGTCTCAATGCAGGTCTCTACGCAAGGTTGTGTTTCTTACGTAGGATGGTGCACTGGTGGCGATTCGGAGTAGCTTCATCTCTAGGGCAGCAAGTCGCTTGCGGTAGCTGGGGGCAGCGTACCCCCAGACCGCGGAGGCGTAAGCGAGCTGAGGTCTGGCGATGGCCTTGATCAGCCGTAGCTTGGTCGCTAGCGGCATCCGGCTGTGTCTACCCAGTAATGGGTAGAGTTGAGCCATGGCTGCTCTGGTCTTTGCGATGACAGCTTCTATGTGGGCTTTCCAGGTGAGGGACTTGTCAAATACGATCCCCAGATATTTGACTTTGTCGCTCCACTGGATATCTTCGTCGAAGATGGATGCTTCGAGAGGTCTTGCAATCCTTCTTCGTTGAATGAAGATTGCCTGCGTCTTCTGGACGTTGATGCGGATTTTCCATTTCACGCACTAGTCCTGGATGTGGTCCAGTTCATCCTGTAGTCTCCTACAGATGATCTCGGGTCGTCTATGCTTGGCGGCTATAGCAGTGTCGTCTGCATATAGGGTCAGCATTGTGTCAGCTGTCTTCGGTACATCGTGAGTATAGATGTTGTAGAGCAGGGGGGCTAAGGCTGACCCCTGGGGCACGCCTGCTTCCAGCTGTCGTCTTGTTGAATGGCATGTACCAAGCTTCACCGTGAACCATCTTTGTGTTAGATAGCTCTGGATCAGTTGGCACATGTTCGCATCGATTCCGGCGGCTTCCATTTTGGCGATGAGTCCATCGTGCCAAACTCGATCGAAGGCTCGTTCCACGTCCAGCAGGACGAGACCGGTTGCCTCCTGGAGATTGAAGCCGCTGGTGATGTTTTCCGTCAGTCGTAACGCTTGGAGTTCCGTATTGTGGATCTGAAGCCGAATTGCTCTGGGGGGAGAAGTTGCAGTTCTTCTGCCTCCTTCTCTAGTCGAACGGCGATAGCCTTTTCGACTACTTTACCCATCGAGGAAACCAGGCTGATGGGCCGGTAGTTCTGGGGCAACTTCCGGTCCTTGCCTGGCTTGGTGAGCATTATAACCTGGGCTTCCCGCCACCGCCGCGGGAAGTGGTTAAGTCTCAGAGTGGCATTGGCGATGTTGGTGAGCGCAGCAATGACTTTGGTGGGAAGGTTCTTCAGCATCCTATTGTTGATGCCGTCCCTTCCCGGCGCCTTTCTGACCTTCAACCTGCGGATGATCAGACGGATTTCCTCTGAACTGGAGGGGTGATCCATCTCCTGGCCAGGTGGTCGACTCCTCATGATTTCGGCTGCGACTTCCACGGCCTCCTCGTGGTTGTCGTCCTCGTCTTCATGGTAATTGAGTCTGCATTCGGATTCTAGCGAATCGGCGAATGCTTCGGCTTTTTCTTCACTGGAGTAGGCCAAGCCGCGTTGGCCGTGAAGAGTGGGGATCGTGGTGCGCTGACGACGGAATTTTCGCTGCATAGTCCAGGCCGTACCATTCTGGCTCTCTAGTTCTGCACAGGCTGCATTCCATCTGCTGTTTTGGAGTTCCGCGACTGCGTTCTTCAGAGCTAGCGATGCTCTGTTTCGCGCAACTCTCGACTCCTCTGTCAACAGCTGGAGATGTTCTCGCTTGAGTCTTCTGTTCTTCCTGATCAGGTGCCTAATATGGTGCGGTGCTGGACCATTTAGGTGTCTAGGAACTGCCGTAGTCTCGGAGCGGGTGCTGTCCTCGTGCGCTCGCAGGACAGCATTCTCCAGCTCCTCTACCGCGTTGTCCAGTTCCTCCGCTGATGGGATGGTTGGAATTTGAGTGATGTTCCTTTGGACGTTGGATTTGTACAGATTCCAGTTCGTCCGTTTGGTGCTCAAGCTATCTCGAACTCCTCTCTGATGTTGCGGAAGATGGCTATGTCCAGTACCGCAGGTCGCCCGAGGCCGAATGGAATGTAGGTTGGTTGCTCCGGACCGACGATGACCCCCGCCAGGGCATCGACGTGTTCTTGGAGCTGCCTTGCATTCCTGTCTTCGACGTTGTTGTTCCATGCCGGAGATTTGCAGTTTAGATCTCCGATGACTATGCGTGCTCCTGTGCCTCTCAGGAGGTCAGCGATGTCATCTTCGTCTAGGGCCTCCCCTGGTGGCACATATAGGGAGGTGATCCTGTAGGGACGGTGGTTGTGATGGACCTGGACCGTGATTCCGTCCCCATTGATGTCTGCAGCATCGTCGAGGACATGACTCGTCAAGGTACGTTTGACGAGTAATGCGACTCCTCCACCTCTGCCTCTTCTGTCGTAGCGGTACGTCTCGTACCGCGGGAACGTCAGACTATGGGCAGCATCCAATTTCGTTTCTTGGATGGCCATCACCTCTGGTTGGTACTGGTCTAGTATCTCCTGGATTTCTGGTTTCCGTGCCCTGACTCCGTTGATGTTCCAGGAGATAATGCGTAGAGATTCTACGTTTTGCCCTGTAGTCATTTCGGGTCTAATGTTTGTCTTGCATCTTGGCCTCGAGTGCATCCAGGCGGGTTATGATGGCTTGCATCATTGCTAGCAGTCTGTCATCGCCGTGTTGCTTCTGCGCAGTAGTTCCAGTAGCAGTGGCGGCTGCTGGGGCAGAAGTGGACATAGGTTTCTTCGCTTTTTGAGCGTAAGAGGTCCTATTTGTGGTGGGGACTGCTTTGGGGGCAGAAGCAGCTTTCCTCGGGGCCTTACTACATCCCTTGTAGTTGGCGGGGTGGCCTTCTCCACAAAGGCAACACTTGGCGTTTCGTTGCCCTGTTGGCGGCGCTGGCAGACTGCAGCTGGTGCTGCTGTGGTCCTCTCCGCACTTAACGCACCGTTCAGCGAGACGGCAGTTCCGCTGTGTGTGCCCGTACCGCTGGCAGCGGTAACATTTGCTGGGCTCGGTAGACTTTTTCTTCCTCTCGACATCTTCGTATTGACGAGGAAGAGCGGAAGTGGCTTCTTGGTGGTCCTTGAGGTCATCTGCTGAACCTCGGCGTCTGCGATGCCTTGGCTCACTAGATCCTCTTTGATGTCATTGACTGACATCTCCCTGGGTAGCCCACGAATGACCCTCTGGTCCATCCTGTCCTCCTTCAGTTGATAGGTGAAGAAGGGCCGCTTGATGGAGTCCAGCAGTGCGACTAGCTGACGGTAGTCAGCTGGTGTATTTGTGAACACCTTCACACTGTTACCCGCCGTCCTCGCCTTGGAGAATTGGATCCCCTTGCTGTTCATCATCCTGCTTAAGGATGACCAATCAGCGGTGCCCTCGATATTGATTGGCAGAACTCCTGTTCCTGCCATGGGGGCCTCGGTGGTCCTGGTTGCTTTAGGACCTCTCTTCTTGGTGGCAGCTGGCATCTTTGGCTGCCTGGATGGTTCTTCTTCTTCTTCGGAGGAGGAAACTCTCACTCGTTTTCTCCTCCTGGCGACGACACTGAAGTCTGCGTCATCGGTCCTCTTCTCGGCTTCTTCTTCTTCGATATCTTGGGCATCCATGTCCCTGTTTTCCGTAGGCTGCTGGTCCTCGTCTCCCTGATCCTCACCTTCTTCTTCTTCTACCGTCTTCTTCGCCTTCCTCTTCGCTTTGTGGAGCTTAACCTTCACTTCCTCTATCTCTTGCCTTGCCTGCTTGAATGCTTTTTGCAGATTCTTCATCTGCTCAGCAAGCATTGCGATGTTATCCTCCTTCTGCTTCAGCTGGCTCGTCAGTTTTTCTATTCACGCCATCGTGGATGGCGATCGTATCGTGATGAAAATCACAATAGGATCGCACTGTAAGTCCGGGTGGGTCGCAGTCGCACAAGTGTATACTCGCGCCGGCTGCTAGCTCGGAACTGGAATAGATGGTGTTTTGTAACAGTTGGACTTATACTAACATACCGGGTCCGGTACAAAGGACGGTTGTTTTTGAAATGGCTAGTACTCTCGGCCTATTCGGGCGAGACTGGTGGGGGGAGTGCCGTTCGACTTGGGCGTTTCTAGCATTTTTATTAGCAGATATTATGGAGCAGTGGACGGTTGTGTAACGGGTTTTCGCGTACGATAGTTTCTTTGTCCGACATAATGAGTCTATCACCGCTGTACAGCGTGAGTTTCGTTGCCATTTTAATATTCATCGGAATCGAGCTGTTCCTTCTCGAAACACCATCCTTCGTTGGGTTCAATCACTTCGCACACGTGGTTTACTGATCAACAAAAGACCACCAGGAGCTCCACGAACGGTTCAAACCACTGAAAATGTGGAACGCGTTCGACAAGCTTTCCTTCGCAGTCCGGTCCGATCTGCTCGGCAACATGCTGCTGAACTTCGCCTCAGTGATCGTTCGGTAAGGCGTATTTTGCATGTGGAATTCCACTTTGACCCCTACAAATTGGCCATTGTACAACAGTTACAGCCTGGAGATTACGCACAACGAATGAACTTCGTACGTGAGATGGAAGCACTTATCGAGCAAAATGAGAACCTCATTTGTTCTTGAGTGGTGGAGCTCACACGACAGTTACATGAAAGAGCAGCTCCAAAAGTGCCGGGTTCGTACGCTAAATCGCAAACTTGCATCATCGGCCCTTACTTCTTCGAAGACGGTTATGGCAATGCTGTTACCGTGAACTCGGAGCGCTATGTCGATATGATCATCAACTTCTTTTCACCTGAATTACGACGACGACGTGTTGCATTCCGACGTGTGTGGTACCAACAGGATGGGGTGACCGCCCACACAGCCAGAGCAACGATGAACGTTATTCACCATCCCTCCCGTGGTTGCCTTATTTCCAGGTTTGGTTAATCCGTCAATAAATTTGTTTTTAAGTAAACATTACCCATTTTGTGATTTTTTAAAAACCGTTCTACCTGTGTGCGACACCCAGTACAAGTGAACCCCAAATGTTTATGATAGCCTCAGATTTCTAAGAAGGGTCGAGTAGACAGGTAATAAACGGGCGTCCCATTATTATCTACAGGTAGTTAGATCCATGCTTGAAATATCCCTTTAGTCCTGACTTTATAATCATTTTGTAAACTTCTATTCATATTTTCCCTTAGATCTACGTGCCTCATAAATCTATGCCATTCGCAAGTCCAATAGTTTGGAGAGAAAAATCACGTAGATGATTTTTATTTTTGCATGACGAGTATTAAAGGAATTAGTAGCAAAACCAAGCCTAGCATTCAGTACTCCAATATTCCCTCTGCATTGCAACCATGACAAATCTCTACCACCTGAGAGTTACACGCTTGATTCGGAATCAGACTCTGGAAGTACTTCACCAGAAGCATGACCAAGCTACATCCCTAGTTTTCATGATTTACCTGATATATCCCATTTAATCACTCAAGGTGAATTGAAAAGACCTTGGTCGTGGCTTGGACCTCCCGAAAACAAAAGCGGAACTTCCCGCCTACAGCAGTGGAAAGTAGAACCTCTTGGAAAAATGAGTTAAGGTGTTCATCTACAGGAAAATGCAATCTACTCACTTTTTTTTTGCAGTGGAAGGTGTAGTATTTTGCTATGACATACCCGGTCTAATGACCGAACTGAACACACCGCGCCCGATAAATGGAGACTATTCATAAAATAAGCATAAAAACGGTTTTACTTTTTGGAAATGACCAACCATCGATTCCTATAGATCATTCGGTAAATATGAAAGAGATGTTACTCAGATGTATAAAGTACGAAGATCACAAATGGAACAATGTGCAGATTTAAAAGTGGTGGCGTTATTGACAGGACTACAATCAGGATATACAAAATACTGTTGATTTTTGTGTGAGTGGGCCAGCGGTGCAAATGACAAACATAAAATTGATGTTTGGCTTCCACGTGAAACAATAGAAGTTGCCGTTAAAAATTTGACAAAACCATTAATTCCGAAAGACAAAATATATTTACATTCACTCCACACTAAGCTAGGTCTAATCAAAAATTTTGTTAAATCACTGGATAAAAAGAAGGAAATGCTTTCAAGTATCTAAAATACAAATTTTCATGTATAAGTGAGGCCAAAATTAAAGATGGAATTTTTGTTGGCCCCAAATTAAGCTGTTGTTCAAAGATGCGAACTTCAGGCAAATAAAAGTCGGGCATGGAATGCATTCAAAAGGGTTTGAAACAATTTTCTTGGAAATAATAAATCGGAAAATTGTCCCGAACTCGTGGAAGAACTACTTACGGCCTACCGTATTTTAGAATGGAACATGTTACTAAAACTTCACTTTCTCCATTCTTATTTGGACTTAGTTCCTAAAAACTTAGGAGCAATACCAGATGAGCATGGAGAACGATTTGACCAAGATATCTCCTTCATAGAGAAAAGTTATACTGAAAAGTGGAGCCTGAATATGTTAGCCGACTATTGCTGGACCTGAATACGAGACACATCCAGGAGTTCTTATAAAAGAAAGACGTTAAGGCAATAAATATTGAATTTATCGAAAATTACTTGAACATGTTTATACTGTACATAATCTTACTGATAATATAAATAAAATTTGTTATATTTGTAAGTTTTTAATTGTTCAAATTTAATAAATCGGCATTAAAGGCAGTTTTTATTGAATTTTTCTTAGTATCGAAGCATATGTCGCTCCCTCCTCATTGGAGGATGATATTGAAAATCTGAAGCCAGATACGGATTCAGCAGGCCAAAATGCAGTCAAAATTATTCCAGGGTTGGGGGAAAGTTTTAAAATGTTCGTCAGTGACATTTGCCCTGCTCTGGGGGCCCTTGAATGGAGTTTAGTTCTCGGACAACTGGCCGTCGCCACCCCTGAGAATCTGGGTGGAACCTAAAATTTGTATATTTAGCATAATTTTATATCCAATTTTGAGAATTTTTTGGATTCCCCCCCTTGAGAAAATTCAATGCCACCCGCTCTTCTAAAAGTTTTGGGAGCAGGTACGCTTTCACATCTTGCCCATGGTTGCCTCCCTGAAATTTTTTCTGCAAGTGCCCATGAAAGCGGCTGAACTCTACGTCTAACCGTAGGACGCAATCTTAACGCAATTAAAATTGAGTCGCTTTCTTTTATCAGAGGCAGCAAAATAAAATCTATAGTTTCCTTTCATCATTTTTATGATTATAAACATTTGGCGTATATTCGTACAAGTATTATTTTTTTATTTGTTTGAATTTCATTTCGGATATACCCCAATCCTTTACTGCAACATTGGACAAAGTAGCAAATCTACTGAAATATATCCAACTAGTGCACAATTTCGGTGTTGCAGTGTTCGTCGGTTGTTGCACGGTTGGCGAGCTTGTTCCATCTCACCTAATCGAACCGTTTGTTCTCTGGTTCAACTCAGCAGCTCTCTCGCTCTGTCAGCCTAATCCAGTTGATTAGTATATAGCTTATTATATATATATCAAAAATAGGAATATATATATATATATATAATAAACTTTTATAGAATGTTGAAAACCATATAAGCTGAATCGGATATGGATTGGCAACTCTGGTGTACACGACGACACCGCTACTCAGAGTACCAGAAACAGCTTTCTACGTGATAGGATTGTTCTCCATTCATTCAAAATAAGGACAAATATATATATATATATATATATATATATTATAACAAAAATAGGAAAATAATGTGCAAAATCCGCAAAAAGGAGGGAAGTGGATTCGAGCAGAAAATAGGATAGGTAACCCGAGCGATACGTATTTCTGCTGGTTGGCTTCATCCGGCCCGAAATGAATGCACATATGCAACAACAAAAGTAGATGCACATGCTCATACATCCGGATACGGGTGTAATCTGAGGAAACAAAGATGGAGGGGAAAAAACACACACGAAGTCCACAACAAGAGCCAACCTACACATTGGAGTATAAAATAGCTAGAAGACCTCGAATTTTCAAGGCGACATCTACCCACAACCACGCTGCCGGTTATAGCCACTTGCTGTGGTACTTCAAGCCCAAAGGATCTACAAAGAGAAAATAATCATGCGGAGAAATGTATATAACAGAAAATAGGAAAATAATGGGCAAAATCCGCAAAAAGGAGGGAAGTGGATTCGAGCAGAAAATAGGATAGGTAACCCGAGCGATACGTATTTCTGCTGGTTGGCTTCATCAGGCCCGAAATGAATGCACATATGCAACAACAAAAGTAGATGCACATGCTCATACATCCGGATACAGGTGTAACCTGAGGAAACAAAGATGGAGGGGAAAAAACGCACACGAAGTCCACAACAAGAGCCAACCTACACATTGTAGTATAAAATAGCTAGAAGACCTCGAATTTTCAAGGCGACATCTACCCACAACCACGCGGCCGGTTATAGCCACTTGCTGTGGTACTTCAAGCCCAAAGGATCTACAAAGAGAAAATAATCATGAGGAGAAATGTATATAACAAAAAATAGGAAAATTATGGGCAAAATCCGCAAAAAGGAGGGAAGTGGATTCGAGCAGAAAATAGGATAGGTAACCCGAGCGATACGTATTTCTGCTGGTTGGCTTCATCAGGCCCGAAATGAATGCACATATGTAACAACAAAGGTTACACCCGTATCCGGATGTATGAGCATGTGCATCTACTTTTGTTGGTTGGCTTCATCAGGCCCGAAATGAATGCACATATGTAACAACAAAGGTTACACCCGTATCCGGATGTATGAGCATGTGCATCTACTTTTGTTGTTGCATATGTGCATTCATTTCGGGCCTGATGAAGCCAACCAGCAGAAATACGTATCGCTCGGGTTACCTATCCTATTTTCTGCTCGAATCCACGTCCCTGCTTTTTGCGGATTTTGCCCATTATTTTCCTTTTTTTTGTTATATACATTTCTCCGCATGATTATTTCCTCTTTGTAGATCCTTTGGGCTTGAAGTACCACAGCAAGTGGCTATAACCGGCCGCGTGGTTGTGGGTAGATGTCGCCTTGAAAATTCGAGGTCTTCTAGCTATTTTATACTACAATGTGAAGGTTGGCTCTTGTTGTGGACTTCGTGTGTGTTTTTTTCCCCTCCATCTTTGTTTCCTCAGGTTACACCCGTATCCGGATGTATGAGCATGTGCATCTACTTTTGTTGTTGCATATGTGCATTCATTTCGGGCCGGATGAAGCCAACCAGCAGAAATACGTATCGCTCGGGTTACCTATCCTATTTTCTGCTCGAATCCACTTCCCTCCTTTTTGCGGATTTTGCCCATTATTTCCTATTTTTTGTTATATACATTTCTCCGCATGATTATTTTCTCTTTGTAATCCTTTGGGCTTGAAGTACCACAGCAAGTGGCTATAACCGGCAGCGTGGTTGTGGGTAGATGTCGCCTTGAAAATTCGAGGTCTTCTAGCTATTTATACTCCAATGTGTAGGTTGGCTCTTGTTGTGGACTTCGTGTGTGTTTTTCCCCTCCATCTTTGTTTCCTCAGATTACACCCGTATCCGGATGTATGAGCATGTGCATCTACTTTTGTTGTTGCATATGTGCATTCATTTCGGGCCGGATGAAGCCAACCAGCAAATACGTATCGCTCGGGTTAC